TGAACTTGTGGACATGCAGTCATCACTGTCGCTGCCTGAAGAGCTGTGCACAAATGGACGATTAAGTTTTGGAGTGACATAAATGTTCACCAGTTCCCAAACCTTTAGAAAGTTGCTGTTACTGTGCTTAGTAATATATTATATAATAACAATAATAATCCACATGAAACTCGCTACTTGGTATCGGTATCGGCGAGTACCTAAACTGAAGTACTCGTACTTGTACTCGGTCTTGAAAAAACTGGTATCGGGACACCCCTAGTTGAATCTTATTATCTTATATTATTTCACTTAAATATCTAATATATCTTGTTTTATCCTCCTGAAACCCAGAAGAACCAGTTTCAGATACTTGGAATGTAACTGTGGTGAAACCGATTAAGTGTAACAGCAGCCTACCATACACATGAGCTTCCTCATGCTGCTCAAATGATCTGCAGTTCACAGAGCAGAACTCGACTGTTTAACAAGATGGATTTAAGAGCGATCAATCGTCCACATCTTTTCATCTCCACTGTTAACAAGAAAAAAATGTTTTTCAGACTCCTATCTGGGTAAAAAAAATTTAAAATACGGTGTTTTCACTATGCGTGTGTGCACGCGTGTGCGCGTACAGGTTTTTGCTTCATGATGGGTACAATTTTTGATCATTTCCATGGTACACACAGCCAGGTGAGGTTAGGGTTTGGGTCAGGTGTGTGGTCTACCTGGAAGGTTATGGTTGGCTATAGAATTGACGGGGAAATGAATGGAAGCCAATGCAAAGTCCCCATGAAGATACAACAACAAACGTGTGTGTGTGTGTGTGTGTGTGTGTGTGTGTGTGTGTGTGTGTGTGTGTGTGTGTGTGTGTGTGCGCGCACGGGAGCTGTGAGCAGAGCGCAGTGTTATTAGGAGACATGAGACTGTGTCGATGGGCGACTGTTATAGTTGATACTGCAGGATTCATTTTTTATGGAACGTGATAGAAACTTTTTGTTTCAGCAGCGACCGCTCCCCTTCCCCTCAAACGATTGGTCGCAGCAGTGCGACCGGACATTTTTTTAGTCGCACTATTAGGAAATCAGGTCGCATTTGCGACCAAATTGGTCCCACTCTAGAGCCCTGTGTCAAAAAGCTGTTGTTACTGTTATTGTTTGTCACTAATATGAAGAGCAGCTTCTGGTTCTAACATGCAAAAGTTTTAAAAGGCTATATTTTCATTCGCAATTTATCTAATTTATTTTTAGAGGTTTTTTTTGAAACATTGAACATTTTGAATGTATTTATTTTATGACCACAATTTTGTTTACTGAATTGTCTATTTTTGTTGTTTATGTTTAAAAATATACATATTTTTGTGTTGATAAGCCTGAGTGGTCTGTTAACAAATAATTGTTATGGGCAGGTTACAATATAAAATAATGTTTGACATAATCAAAGTTGCACATATGCAGTGCGCAGGTGCGCTTGCGCTGTCAAAAAAGGGAAAAGCGCACCAGATGTAACATCATAAAGCTCCCTTGCATACCTAAGATTGTACCTGGTTGTCTGTCAAAACAACAGCTAGCAGGGCTCTAGAGTGTGACCAGTTTGGTCGCAAATGCGACCTGATTTCTTAAAAAAAAGATTCCAGCAGCACTGGTGTGAATGGATCGTTGTTCGGTGCAACACAGCGGGACCCTGAAATAAGGATTAAACAGACACCGCCTTCAACATATCAGACAAAGTCCAGAGCCGTTTTGTCCAATCAGAGCAGAGCAGGGCGGGACTTTCAGTGAGAGCAGTTTGGTTGAAGCAGCGGACCGGCTCGAGTCGACTCGAGCTGCTGCAGCGATCAGTCCTGATCTCCTCCTGCACTTTGCTCCTGAACTACCAGAGACTTTGGTCTGTAAAACCTAACTTTATATTAAATATATGTTCAGAATGTTGTTATTGAACAGATCTGTCCAACTCTGTGAGTGACTAAACTCTCTCCTCCTGAGAGACTGCTGTATGAGCGCGTCGCTGCGCGCACAGACTGAGTCTTTCTGTAAGAT